CTCTTAAGAGGTTTATTTATAATAAAAAAGCATAAATTCAGACCTAACATACAAAGGTTCAAGTCATCAGAAGAGCGCACAAGAATTTTACCCAGAGTACTCTAGGCAGTCTTTAGGTTTACTGAACCTGCTAGCAAACTGACTCCCTGATCCTCTCACTAGGCTGCCCATTGGCTTCCAGGAAAACATCTTTCCCAAGACTACAGGGCTAGTTCTTAGGTCTCCTGCTTCCCTCCTGGTCTGAATTCAGAATGGCTTGGGCTGTGAATGCCCCAAGTTGCCCCCTGGAGGTTCTCTTCTCTCTCTGGTATCCTGAACTGAACTCACTGGTTCATTTAGAAACCCTCCTAAGCCTCAGACAAGCATGAGTCACTACCCTTGGCTAGTTCAGCTGAAGTCTCTACTCCCATATTCCTGTTGAATATTAGGTAAGTAAGCCATTGTCCTTCTCCCCTCAGCCAAGTAGATTGAAAGGAAGACTCAATGGGACATACTCATTTGGTTACACACCCTACTGAGGTTTAAATATAGAAAATTTTCATCACCTAAAACAGAAGTCACTAACAACCCCAGTTCCTCACAATTTGATTCTTTTTAGTAAATGCAAAAGTTTCAAAAACCCTGTAAGAAAGGGATCTTGGACTTTTCACAAACTAAGCCCTTACTGTGAATATATTCTATCTCTCTCTTCATTTTTTTTAACGAGTTGGACAACTGCTTGCTTCAAATACTGTATTGTCTCTGACAGCCCTGTTGTACACTGGGAAACTACTCTTTTGAATGAGAGATTTAAGGAAATTTGGAAATTTGAATTTAGAAGCCCTGGGTTCAAATCCTAGCTTTATCATGTTATGTCCCTGGTCGTGCCACTTCAACTTTCAGGTTCTTCATCTGTAAAATAGGAATAAAAATATCCACACTATCTGTAATACATCACAGGGCTTTATCTTCACAGGATCAAATGAGATAATGTATATAACACACCATGTATGTCCTCAGATGCTATGTAAATGTAAGCTGCTTTTACTGTTGAGATACAGTGAAAGACTCCTAGTTAACAATGTCCTCACTCTCCTTTTTAGAGATCTTCCTTATTGGTATCCTTCGGAAGCCAGGTCAGCTATCTTGGGCTCTCACCAAATGTTTATGCTGCTGAAGTCACAGACAGATGAATCACTTGTTGGCAAATGGAATTAAGCCTTAGCCAACATGCCATTGGCAGCATCTCTATTGGGAAGTCATTTCCTGCTGCCACTTGGGTACTTTTGGCAGTATTTTTTTTAATATTGAGTATATATTGGGTATTCACCACTGAACTGGCAGAAATATGAATGGGTGAAGTTAGGAAATCCTAACCTATTTAACAAAAAAAACTATTATAGAATATTATAGGATATATTATAGGATATGGAATATATTATAGGACATAGTTATTATCAAGCTAAGCACAGATTTTAATGTGTGTGATGATTTGGAGTATAATGTTCCTTTTCCCCTAAAATCAAGATAGTTCCTATTGACCTTGATATTATTGACAGTAATTCATGGCTCCTTGCATTGTTTGCTAATTATCATCCAAACATCAATTAGTAGGATTTGTTGTAAGATTGAATGATCTCAGTTAAATTAAATTGAGTTGACAGAGTGTTTGTCTTCTACAGGAACTGCAGCTGGAGAAAGAATATTAAGTTTTTTTTTCTTTGATTGATTTTTTTTTTATTCAATAAAGGCTAAAATCCAGATTTTCACTATAATGAATGCAACTTGATAGTATACCAGATCTGAAGTTGGAAAGGATCATAGAAGCCTTCTAGTCAACCTCTTTTATTTTATAGATGAGGAAACCAAGGTACACAGAGGTAAATGACTTGCCCTAGGTAACATGAGTACCTTGAATTCAAACACAGGTTCTCTGATTCCACTCAGTCTCTCTCCACCAAACCCTGCTGCCTCTCCATTAAGTGCTAAGACATAGCACTAGAAGTAATATGCTCTCCATCATCCAGCCTAGAATTTCCCAGCCGTAATTTTATATCCACCTCACATGAAGTCCACCAAAGTCATTTTAATTTTAAAATGTATGCCTTATATACATTTTAGGAGTAGGGAAGAAATACTATAAAGTGAAACAGTCAGTTAAATAATGTGAGGAAAATGGGGATGCTTTGACTTTTATATCTTGTATATAGCTTGTTTTTCCTGCTTGTTTTCACATTGTCTCCTCCATTAGACTGTGAATTCCTTGAGAATAGATACTGTTTTTGCCTCACTTTGTATCTGCAATGCAAAGTCCCCTGCACATAATAGGTGTTTAATAAATATATATTGACTTAACTTGACATATATTGAGTGTCTACTGAGTATAAGAACTGTGTTAGTTGCTGTTAGAGCCATAAAAAAAAAAGTGTCTGGCACAACCACTTCCTTCAAGTAGTTTTCTGTCTAGTTGATGAAGTGAGACATAAAGATCTCTGAAATTCAATAAAAGTAAAAGACAATTAACAAGTGAAGTTCAATATAAGAGATGACATTAGGCAGTGAACTCTGAACAATGGTTCGGCCAATTTTGACTTCAGAAGATTAATAATGTAGACTAATAACTCTCTTTCCAGAATGGGGGTGGTAGACTACAGGTGTGGAATGAAGCAAGATCACAAAGGATCACATTGGACATTTTTATTACAAAATAGAACTAGATTGTGCAAAAATGCTGGGAAAGGCAATGATTTGGGGGAAGGATCAATAAAATTCAGCTATGTAGATGGACAGCAGATAGGTCAGGGAGACCTGAGTTCAAATCTTGCCTCAAATATTACTGGCTCTGTGACCTTGAGCAAGTATTTGATTGTTTTTTTTTTTTTACTCAATAAAGGCTAAAATCCAGATTTTCCCTGTAATGAATGCAACTTGATAGTACCCTAGATCGAAAGGTAGAAAGGATCACTTAAACTCTGTCTGCCTTGATTTCCTCATCTGCTTTTTTTTTGGAGGCAATTGGGGTTAAGTGACTTGCCCAGGGTCACACAGCTACTATGTGTCTGAGGCCAGAATTGAACTTGGGTCCTCCTGAATCCTGGAGCGGTGTCCTATCCACTGCACCACCTAGCTGCCCAATTTCCTCATCTGTTAATAAAAACAGGGGTAATGATTGCAGACCAAATGAGATAACATGTATAAAGTACTTTGTGTTGATCAATCATGTCTGACTTTTCATGACCCCATGAATTATAGCACACCAATACTGTCTGTGGGGTTTTCTTGGCAAAGATACCAGAGTGATTTGCCACGTCCCTCTCCAGTAGATTAAGGCAGACAGAGGTTAAGCGACTTGGCCAAGGTCACATAGTAAGTGTCTGAAGTCGGATTTGAACTCAGGTCATCCTGACTCTAGGCTCAACTCTCAGTTTACTAAGCCATCTAGCTGCCTCCATAAAGTACTTTGCAAACCTTAAAAAGCTATATGAATGTTAGCTAGGTACTATTTTAAAAAGAGTGGTTCAAATAATAAGCCCTATAAAAATTCAGAAGAAGGGGAATAATTTCTCCACCAGTAGTGCAATATGGCTACAACAATGTGTATAATTGTTTTTACAGCAAGCCATGTCATATAGCTGGCATCCTGCACTGTAAACTTAAATATTCTTTTTTTCTGAGCCTTTTTTTCCCCTCACAAGATCTAGGATTCTATTGGTATAGAGAACTCCCAATAAGGAAAGTCTCTCTTTACACAGATTAGCACTTTATCTGTGACATCATTTTAGAGATTTGCCTGGGGGCACCAGGGGCACTTCAGATTGTCTAGGGAAGGATTACTAAAGACAATGGGATTTTCATTGGGTCAAATATTAATAATAAATTAATATATTAATTTCTTTTGTTATAACCAGAGAAACTGAGGTATTGTGGTATAGAGGATAAGGAACAGGATAACCTGAATTTAAGGACCATCTCTGACCTGTGGTGGCTGTGTGACCCTGGGTGAGCAACTTAAATACCCAGGCAGCATTCTACAATTATGAGCTGCAGAGCAGGTGCTGATCTGCTATGGGAGAGAATTTTTTCTTATTGGGAGTTCCCAATACCAATGAAATGACAGTTCTGCTCAGAAAAAAAAAGAAGAGTTTAGAATGACAATTATATGACATGGCTTCTAGGAAAAACAACTCTGTTTTTAGGGTAACATATTACCCTAGTCATATTGCATTACTAGTATAAAAATTACAGTTATCCCTTCCACATCATGACTTTCCCCATCATGGTTTCAATATATTGAGGGTCGGCATATGAAATTAAATGGGAATTTTTTGAGAGTTTTGTGAAAGCCACAGATAACGTGCAAAAGGCAGCAGATGACTCAGAAATGTGTAAAATATATGCATGGTATTGTATAATACCAACTCAAATTTTACAATAAGGTCACTGTAAATATCCCATAAAAAAAAAAAAACAAAAAAGTTCACACTTCTCTGGTATGAAGGGAAGGCCAAAAAATTTTAGCAGATTTTCCAGATCACGCAGTGCCATGCCCCTAACCTAGAAGGGATAACTATATCTAAATATAAAAAAACAGTTGGAAGGGTATTGGTGCTCTCTCTTTCTCTTTCTCACTGGTTATAAACATATACAACTAAGCTCAGGATTGTTCAATGGACACGTATGACTTAATAACAATTTTTTTCTTTTCTTTTTTTTCTTTTTTTTTTCTTCAAAAAAGCAAATTTTAAATATTGAGAACCTTTTTTTTTACATAATCTTTCAAAAAGAGAACTAAGGTATAAGATATATTTTTGAACTTTGAAATACTCTGGTTTTGCCCTCAAAACACACATTTATCTAGTCCTTTCTACTGGAGGGAAAGGAATGTCAATTCCAACCGAAGGCCATGGGATGGGTTCCTAAATGGGAGTAACCCTGATCCCAGACCTTCAATGGTATTGCTATAAGATTTTGTATTGCCTGTTGTTTTTTCTTCTCACTTGTATCTGTACTTTTCCTTTTAGCTCGTAAACAAGAGATTATCAAAGTTACTGAGCAACTTATTGAAGCAATCAACAATGGGGACTTCGAAGCTTACACGTGAGTACCGGTAGTATTTTTCTTTCATGAATTCATAACATTTGTTCTATTCCTAATTGTGAATATTTAAACATGATGTCTTCGCTATAAAGTTCCCATTTATCTTTCTCTAAAGAACAAAAGGAAATAAGTCTTTATTCTCATATGTTTCGTCATTTTTGTTAGAAGTAGAAAATTTTTCTCAAGCATAAATAAATCATCCAAAGGCCAGTGCTTTGCCACTGAATTTTCTTAATTAAAGGAATCATTTTTTAGGAGACCCTGGATTGTATTGGTATATGGAGCTCTTAATGGGTAAACTCCTTTGTCTAATGAAGGCACATGACTGGTTGGTAATTTACAGTCTTGGAAAATTCAAACACAGAGAGGTTAAAAACCTTCCTCATGGTCCCACAGCCAGTATGAACCAAAAGTGTGATTCAGACCTAAGGCTTTAAGATGCCATAGCAATCTTTCTTCACTCTGCATATATGTAATAGGCCTGGTGTGATGGGACCTAGCAACAGTTATTTGCAAGCTTGACCTTAAAGTGAAGTAACAGCAAACAAGCAAACAAAAGTGGGAGAGGGAAGGAGGAGAAAGGAAAGATAGAAGAAAGGTGAGGAGAGGAAAGAAGAGGAGAAGTTGGGAAAGGAAGAGAAGAGAGGACAGAAGAGAAGAGGAGAGCCCACAGGATACAGGACAGGGTAGATAGGAGGAGAAGAGGATGGAAGAAGACACCAGAGGAAAAGAGAGGTCAGGAGAAAAGAGGATGGGGAAGGGAGGGAGAGGACAGGAAAGACAGAAGAAGAAGAGAGGCAGAGAAGAGGAAAGAATCCCACTCTGTTGTTAGAGATAATCTTACCCTTTAAACATTTAATATGAAGAATAGAACTGACAGCCTTCCCATGTCTATAGCATTGTCACTTTGCAAGAGGATTTGTTGGGCCTAGCGGGCTGTAAAGGCCTGAGAAGAAGTAAAAGTTGAACATTATTAATTTATGTGATAGTAATCCCCTGTGGACCTCAAGTAATAACTTAGAAAAAAAAAGACACTGACAACTTCTTTATTTCAATGCCTAAAAGCAAATAAAAATTTGAGTTATAAGTCAAAAAAGGGCAGCTAAGTGGCTCAGTGAATAGAGCGCCAGGCCTAAAATCAGGAAAACCTGAGTTCAAATACAGCCTCAGACAATTACTAGCTGTGTGACCCTGGGCAAGTCACCTAACCCTGTTTGTCTCCGTTTCCTTAAATGTAAAATGAGTTGTAGAAGGAAGCAGCAAACCACTCCAGTATCTCTGCCAAGAAAACCCCAAATAGGTTCACACAAAGCTGGACACAATTGAAATGACTGAACACAACAATATAAGCCAAAAATACTCATATTGGGTCCCTCATCATATAGAAGCAAAGGTATTACCTTAGTTGTCTCAGCCTATCAACAGCCTGTGAAAGCTCATGAATATAATTCAAGGTCGCTGGTATTGTTCACACCTCCACAATGTTGGCATGTGCCCCAGTGGATGCATCTTGAATGTTATGAGATACATTAAAAATAAATTTACTTTTATGTGGAATATTTGAACTCGTCTTGGAAACTTGACTTCATTTAGTATATTTAGTTAAAGACAGAAGTCTTCCAAGGGAATTTTGTTAGGTTTTAACCTCTTATTACCCTTGTCAACTCTAAAACCAGAGGATTAGAACAGGCTGACAAATTGCCTATGCCAGATTTTTATTATCCTTTTTATTTTAAATTGTTCTTATATGTTTTTAAGACAAATTTCTGCATTTTAGATGTCTTTTGAATTAGAAAAAAAAAAGAAACCTTTTTTTTTATCCAGGTCTTTACAACCAAAGTAATTTCCTTCCCCCCCCCAAAAAAAAATCAGTTATAGACTCTAGATATGAAAAAAAAAAGTCTGTGATCAGATCAGACAATCCAAACATTTAATATATTATTCATTCAATTTAGCATTGAATTCATCTCATTTCTCTTTTTTCTCTGGTCATGGAGACCTGTTTGCAACCTGGAGTGATTTAGAGCTTTCAATTTAGAGCTGATTTTTAAAAGGACTTTTTTTTCCAGAGCTTTCTGTATGGTGATGTGTATATATATCTTTTACATCTCTGGCAGTTTTGTGCTTCCAAAATGTGCTCTCCACACAAGTACACTGGACACTTCTCATGAAAGGTCACTAATCCATAGCTTAGTGGATTCCAACAAAATTATTATAAGTGTGTGAAATATCTATTACATATGTATATTACATACATATGCAAATATACTATACAGAATTACTTTCCAATAATAATTGGTAATAGATTTTTTAAAATTATTTTCTAAAACACACAGATGTATGTAGGGTATGGACCAGAGGGTTCTCAAACACATGTTTTTTTGATGGTAGTAAAGATAGATCCATTAAGGTCTAACAGCTCTGAGAAGAATGACTTCCTAGTACAGTGTGGAATTAAGTGTTCAATAGTTCACCGATGGGAATAACCAGAAGCTATTATTTCTAGGAGAAATAATAGTTGTTAGAGATATAAATTCCCTTGTTACCATAGAAACACTGTTCTTTCCATTTTGTTCCTCATAAAGGCATTTTAAACATTTGCCTTTGAACTTAAAAATACTTGCCCACCAGGCAGGCTAGGGAAAAACATAAGGGATACCTCCATAAGGCTTGAGCAAAATACGAAGAGTCACCACTGTCAGTTCTCTATTGAAAAATATCCTGAAAATCAAATGTCAGGCCCCCATGCTATGATTGGTACTCTCTATAGATCATTTTTGAGATTACATTTTGTCCAACAGCTGAAAAAAATATTGCCCTCCAAAGGAGAAAGAATAAAAAGGTTAGGCAGAGAGCACACTTGATTAAATTAGCGAATGACCTTCAATTCCTTCAACTCATTCTCCACTCAGTGACCCCTACAGACTTTCTCCAGATGGTCATTATATTGTACCTGTCACTAGTAATGATGAATCCTAGATTAATCAAAATTAAATAGGTACATTTGAAACTGTCCTTAGAAATACTTATGAGTCCATAATAGTAGTTCCACAGATATTGTCATTCTTGAAGAAGCTGCTCTTAATTGTCTCTTGTCCTTTGAAATATTTGCCGGTGAGGCTGGGGATATGCCAAACTGATTCACACAGAGTTTCTTTGGGGGGCATTATGGAAGTACTTTGGAGAATTGACTGGTTGAGAAATAAGAATGAATATATGTGAAATAATGGGACTAATATTAAGTTCTTTGGGGGCTATTTTTATTTTCTTCCTACAGAAAAATATGTGACCCAGGTCTCACTGCTTTTGAACCTGAAGCTTTGGGTAATTTAGTGGAAGGAATGGACTTTCATCGATTCTACTTTGAAAATGGTATTTTTCTCCTTTTTAAAAAATTACATGTTTTTTCCCAGGTTCTTCTTGGCTTCTTCCCAAATGAAATTTTCTTTCTGGTTATATCTGAAGTAGGAATTTTTTCCTCTAGGCCATTATAGGGATACATTATAGGGATGTGTCTTTATTGAAATAGGAAATGAATGATAGGTACATAAATTCTCACTCATTATAAAATATCTACAGTTTATCATAAATGCAACATTATGAAATCTAGCCATACAGTTAGCATTGAAATTACCAATATTCTTCCATTACATGAAATCTAATGAACACATACATAAATGTATGCAGGGATTTTTTTTAGTTCTCTGTGAGCAGTCTACTGTTTGTTGCTATAGCAAATAAATATATTTTCTCATAATCTTTGAAGTAGGGATAAAATCTTTGAAAGCATGTTAAGTGCTTATATTCTCAATACAGAATAGAAATGATTAATACTGTGATAACATGATAAATTTGCAAGAATTTCAGTCATTTTGGAAGAACTGCACAAAGAAAATACAAGCTAGAGATGGTTTACTAATAATCCATACCCAAAAGCATTCCAAATGATAAAGGCTCACAACGACCTTGACAACGCTATTTCTTTCTTAATCACAGGAAAATTGTTAAAGAACAAAAGTATTCATGCTAAGAGTAGGACCAAGGAATTCACTTTTGCTAGAATCCTCATACCTTCCAGAAAAGTTCTCTTAGATCAGAAGTTCTCCTCCATTAGGCTGTAAGCTCCTTGAGGGAAGAGATTATCTTTTGCCTGTTTTTACATCCCAGCATTTAGCACAGTGCCAGCCAAATAGCAGATGATTAATAAATATTGATTGATTGATTGATTGATTTTGTGTGTGTGTGGGTGTGTTATGCTCCACTTTGGCAGTCTGCTAAAGCCTATGGACTCCTTCTCAGAATAATATTTTTATATAATTGAAGAAAAAGCTAAATTTCAATTACAGGTTAATGTAAAAAAAAGATGCATTTTTTCCCCTCCAATTTCAAGGACCCCCCCACCTCCCGCCCCACACACATACACATACCTGAAATCTATCCACTTGGGAGTTTATAGATCCAGGTTAAGAAGTCCTGCCCTAGATTCTAGAAATTCATTCTATTCATCCCTACCTCCCAACCTCTGGAGATCACATTTAAAAAAAATAATGCCTTCTAGTGCTAAATCCATGATCCTGTGATTCTTTTGTTTCCATATGTGTCGCTGATGCTAAGCATGTTTCATACAGGAAATCAAGTTTTTTGGCAATGGCATTTTGGTAACATAAACAACAAGGTTTTTGTCATCAATTTTTTAAAATAAATTGACTTCTTTCCAAGGCTACTAGATTAGCATAATTAAAAAAATAGAGAGATCTAAATTCTTTGTGTGTGTCTGTGTGTATAAACTCTGGGTAGTTCAGTAATTGGTAACATGCTTTCATCAGAGCTAAAGTAAATATTTTTTTCATCTTTTATTCCGTATTTCCCCAAACTTTCTTACAGAATTTCACCAACAACAAATATTTATTAAATGCTTATTATATACTAAGCACTATGTGCTATATGCTATGTGCTGTAGATATGAGAAAAAGCAAAAACACAGCCCCTGCCCTCAAGGAGCTCCCATTCTAAGAGAGAGACAATCCTAACCACTACGGACAGAATACCAGTTATATACAGTGCAAATGACAAGGAATCTCAGAGGAAAACCACTGGTTTGGGGAGAAGGGCCATCATCCCGATGGAGGTAACTAATATGTTGAATGGAAAAGAACTACCTCCAAGAAAGATTTTGATATACTGAAACAGTGGGATGAATTTAATAAGATGAAATTTAATAGAGTGCTACTCTTCAGTTAAAAAAAACAACAATAAAGAAAGGGAGATATAGTTAGATGAAAACGGATGTGAAAAGGGCCTGGGCATTTTAGTAGACTTTAAATCCAGTATTGGCTTAGTGGTGTGACCTGGCAGTCAGAAAAATGTAATACAATCCTAGACTGTGTTAATGGAAGCTTGATGTCTACAAGGAAAATTGTTATTCTAACTAGACTGTTCTGATCTGACCACAGTTATAGTTTTTTGTTCCTATCTGGATGGTACATTTTAGTAAAAACATTGGCAAGCTGGAGTATATCCAGAGAATGGCAACCAGTATATTGAGGAGACTCATAATCATGCCCTAACCATGGAAAGCACTAAGGATGCCATGGGTCACCAACTCAATTAACAGGCATTAAAATAAACTGTTTGGTTTAAGTGCTGTTGCTGCATGGTTATCAGCAAAGCACTGTAGGATGTTAGAGCTATGTAATGTACCTGCCTTATGCTATAGATGTACTTTACTAATAAATATAAAGTAAAGAAGAAAGATAGCTTGCTGGGAGACCACAGGATATCCTGCCATCTGCTCCAGCACATTCTGCATTTACAGCATGGGCTGGTGACAATCACTGTTCACCAGCACTAAGCAGCCACTTCACTTTCTGTAAGTGTTTTATCACTTCCTTTTTCTCCAAAGTCCCTGTTGCAGAAAGGGAAAAAATATAGCTGAAAACATTTCTCTATCTTTTATCTCCCTCATGAGAAGACAAAAAATTGAATTTATTTTTCCTCCTGGAATTTCATAATATAGGAAAAATTCAAAGACACACACGTTAAAACAGAACTTCATAAAAGTGATCTCTCCAAGAGGGGCTAATTGCTGAGTTTACAAATTCAGAAGATAACACTTCCTGTGGTTGTAATGTGTTCATATATTGATCACAGCTGTGGTGACTACCTTTTATTCCATTGTTCTTTGTTCTGGTCTTTTCCTTTTGTTCCCTTGTAGCTTTGTCCAAAGGCAATAAGCCAATCCACACCATCATCCTGAACCCTCACGTCCATCTGGTAGGCGATGACGCTGCCTGCATAGCGTACATCAGGCTCACACAGTACATGGATGGCAGCGGAATGCCAAAGACTATGCAGTCAGAAGAGACCCGAGTCTGGCACCGCCGTGATGGAAAGTGGCAAAATGTTCATTTTCACCGCTCGGGTTCACCAACAGTACCCATCAAGTAAATATTTCCAGGCCGTCAGCTTCTTTGATAATATGCCCATGGTCAGCTCTCTATAATCTTCCATTGTTTATAGCATGGCATGTATTATATAATGCTGGTGGCTTTTTTTGTTTTTTGTTTTTTGTTTTTTTAGTATATATAATGCCTAGAAACATAAAGGATCTCACAACTCCCTGCAAAACTCACTCAGCTCATTTATGAACTGAAACTTGGTACAACAACACTGAATAGTAAGATAGGACAGGGCCTTGAGGCTGCTCCAGCAAACTGAAGGCACAATATAATTAGCCAAGTTATTCACTCCTCTGTGGTCATAGTTGGCATAGAAAGTTTGGGTGTGGAAGGAAGGAACAGGGAGGAGTCTCTTTAATGATCACTGGAAGTCAGGAGATCGGTTTGTAGCCTAGTTTAAAAAAAAAAAAACAAAGGAACCCCAGGAGCAAGGTGGAAGCAGGGGATTGAGTTACTTCTAGCTAATTAAAATTGGAAGAAAGTCTTAGAAATCAGCATTAATGTGACTGATTATTGGAAATAAATAGAGGTTTTTCCATATTCAGCTACCTATACACTTCCAAATCCCAAGTTTGATCAATGAATTAATAAATATCTGTGGGAGAAAGAAAAGAAGGAAAGAAAGAGAGAAAAAAGGAAAGAAAGAAGGAAGGAAAAGAAAGGTGAAAGAAAAAAAAAAGAATTCTGGATTTGGAGCCAGAGAACTGAGGTTCAAATACAGATTCTGCGAGTTACTACCTCGTGATCTTGGTCAAGGCACTTACCCTCCATGGGCCCTCTTTTCCTTATCTGTGAAAGAGTGGAAGTTGTTTGTACCAGAATATTTCTAAGGCATATTAACCTATAGAAGTATCAAGTACTATAATATATGCCACGGTTATTTGGAAGCCATGGTGGCAAAGTTTCCTGCTTGAGGAGTTTGGCACACATAAAAATATAAGTACTAAGTGAGATGAGGCAGAAAGCTTCCAAGGAAGGGAGAGTCCTCAGAGAAGGCGTCCTGGGTCTTGAGAGGGGCTTTTAAAGATGGATACAATCTGAAAAGCGAGAGAGTGTGTGGCCAAGGGGTAAGTGAAGCATTTTAGCCTTGAGAAGTGACACGATGATCCAAAGGTATGAATGGGTATAATGTAAATGGTGAGTTGGCAAAAACCAGGCCCAGAAAGCCCAGAACAGAGGTAGAAATAACGATGATTATTAAAGGATTAAGGGTGGTGATTAAAGTGGAATGATTATTGCAGGGCCACATTATGGAAGGCAGACAAAACGGCTAAAAAAGTTTGGACTTGGTACACAGGACAGTGGGACCAAGGATAGCGCCCAAGGTCAGGCTGGATCCATTATGTATTAGCCTCGAAGAAGAGAGGAGACGGCAGACAGAATGTAGCAAGGAGTTCATTCCATTGTCCATCCTGTTATCCTATAGAGAATCCCTGATGGCATATCTCAGTATGACTTGGTGCCAAATCATGATAGGTTCCCAGAGAGCCTCCCATTAGGATTACCATCAATGAGTATGCGAGCCCATAGTTGAGTTACAAACTTAAAGAGATACAATACTGTCCAAGGGGTGAAAATAAAATTTATATGAAAGAATTTCTGTTTAAAAGATTCCATTTAATGCCACGTGGCTTAAGACAGTAGGCTACTTAAATGGGTGATCTTGTATTTAAGATGGGAAAGAGAATGTCTCAGGAAGCACCTCTTTGGTTAAAACTATTGAGGCCTGGAAGTTGTACCTATGGTTTTCATGGGTCTTGTGACTTATTTGCTCCTGATCTAGTATGATCGGAGCTGATGACTGCCAACTGCACTATGATTAATGTGTTGTCATGCAAAGATGACTGGATTTGAAGTCAGGAGACCTAGGTTTGAATCAGCCCTGTGTGACATGACCTTGGGTAAATCACTTCATCTTTCTCAGCCTGTTTTCCTCATTCATAAACTGGGATTGGACCAGATGATCTCTAATGTCCCTTAGGGCTCTAAATCTTATTCTCTTATAAGGATATTTTATCCTGCATTATTTCCAACAGAGAGTATGTAGGGTCTTTCAAAAATACCACAACCTATGCCAAGTCTCCCTGAGTTCTTAAGAGGGGCATCTAGCATTCTTTGTAGAGAAATTTGCTTTAATGCTAATGAGACACTAAAAAGGAACCTTCTTCAATGTAACCTTGGGTCATGGCCATTTTAGAACTCCCTAAAATGGTGCAATTGTCTAATTATGACCCAGGACAGAACAACAATTCTTAATTATCTGTACCAATAAAAGAGCACAGTAGTGAGACTAAGAGAAAGTAAACGACCATCTAAAATTTTAGATTAGACTTCAGAATGTGTTTTATTTCTGAATGTTCTGCAAATCAAGCTAATAAGCATATGTTCAGTGGCCCTTTGTGCCGGGGACTGTGCTAAGCACCAGGAATTACAAGAACAAAAAAAAATGAAAACAGTCTCTGACCTCAGAGACCTGATATTCTATATCCTTGTTTACCGGCTTCACTCCCTCATGCATTGTTTAGGTTAATTTTTCAAAATGGCTTCTTTACCCAACTCTGTACTTTAAACAGGAAGTCCAGTGATGGAAGGCACAAACCAGGTTGGGATTAAAAACAGTTTGTGGATGTCCATAGAGAGGATAATCCAGAAGGATAATTGAGGATTGGCTAGAATGAAATTCCTACTGGTGCTGTTACTTTATTAGACTGATTTGCTTTGGAAATGTGGATGGGTCATACTTTTGCAAGGGAATCTATTGCTGGGAACACAACAGTCCGATGTGTGCCTTGCCTAGTGAAATGACCTATGTAAGGAAGCATAGCTCTGGTTCAGTGTGAGAAGGAACCCCTCATGAAGTTTTTTAAAATCCCTTGTTTTCCCCACTATTGAGATCATGATTTTGGCATTTCATGTGAAATTACTTCCTCAGTAATCAGAGAAAGGTATTTACCCAAGCCTTTCCTGGAGGAACTTACAGGTAGACTTTGGCCATCAGAATGCATCAGTTACACATATGTGAAATGTCCCCTTACAATATTCATTTGTTTGACTGAAGAAAGGCCTTCCTTCTTTAAAAAAGAAAGAAAAATCTTTTTCGGGTATACAGTGACAGAGAATTTCAGTTTCCGTCTGCTCTGTAACTTAGGTCCTTTTGAGTGGATGGATAGATTATCACACCTGATTTCTCATTTAATATCCTCTCTGTTCAACATGATCAATTTTCCTTCATGGCGTCAGGTTATATGGACTCTGGCCCTTCCCCCCACCTATACTTTCAGTCTATTATCTCCCATTGTAAAAGTTAAAATGCCTTAATCTTCCTTCTGTGGCCCAGTAAGTGACAGGATTTTGATAAACAACAATATAATTTGTTTTCCCCCCCTTTTTCCTTTCAGCTAAAAATCAACAGTGCCACTTCTGCATTCTCTGTTTTCAAGGCACCTGGATGGTAACCACCCGGGCGGGCCTGTCCTCCTCTTCATGCATGTTTCCAAATGCATGAAGCTGTGATGGTCCTACCTGTAACAATGCATTTGTGATGCATCATTTTGTCATGATATTCCATCTCAATGTTTTGTTTGCACTCTATCAAAGGGGATGTTTCGTGCAAATTAAAACCAATGTCAGCAAACAAGGGGAGGGAGGGTGGGGGGAGAGAGAGAAAACACCACAACCACATGTTCCAAGCATAGTACAAGCATCATTTTTCTGTTTATGCCAAGTTTTAGCAGCCTTCAGAGCTATCGTTCTCTAAATGATAGTTCATAAAAGAAATATTCATCAAAAAAAGTCTATGCCATATCTATCTGTTTCAGTTTGTTTAAAAAAAATCAAAGGCAAAAAAAATCTCTTCAGTTTTCTGTTGAAATGAATGATATTTTTGGTTGGTGGCTTTGGATTGTGACAACTAAGTGGATGAAATCAGTGATGAATATGGAAACAAAAATGGGCTGACTGAGTATCAGCCGAGCCATCTTAGTTCTTGATCAAGCTGTGTAAACTGGAAAAACTCACATCACTAACTGGCTTGATCTCCCTAGGATACCTTCCCCTCTTCTGCTTAATCAGCTGTGTCTGTTCCTGCTTCCTCAAGTCTGCACCCTCCAATCTCTTTTCCTTCAGGGTGAGGATTTGCAGTTAGTGAGAAAAAGTCTAAAGGCAACATGAGGTGAAGGAAAAAATAGGGATTTAGGGAAAGAGTTAAAGCAGAGAGCTTTTGAGCACTTTCAGGGTGTACAGAATTTTATTAGAGAATCTTAGATTTTTTTTAACATTGGTTATATTCTAGATTGGGCTTAGATATTCTAAATCTTTTAGAAAAAATTATATATATATAAATATATATATAGGCTTTTAAAAAGCTGAAGATGAAAAAAAAATATAAGCTCCTGTTTGAGTCAGTCAATTTCTTACTCATCTGGATAATCACTGCAATCATACCAGGACCTCTCAGAGTTTAGCACAATCACTGTGTGCACACAGGCTCCCTTTGTTACCCCCCTGGGCATGAATGGCAGGGACTTCTCTAGTATCACTAGTTATTTTTCTATGACTACCGAGCTCTAGAAAATAAGCAGGGAAATGTTTTTTTGTGTCGATACACATCTTTCAGCCCATCCTTTGCAATTTGACCTCCTCCATCTTCTCTCCATCATTGTAGTTTCTGAAAGCAGTTAGAGTTTTTTCAGCCTAAAACAAACAAACAAAAATAAAGTGGGGGTGGGGTGGGATGGACTTGGCAGGCGAGCTCCAGGGTGGACTGGGGAGGGAGCAGAGTATCACTCCTTGTGTTTTCTTCTTTGCCCCCCTCCTGCAGAGCTATCCCTCTTTCCTGTGATGCTATATAGTGCATGCTATCTCTAACGTCATTTTTTTTTTAAAGCAACTCACAACCCTCTGCAACCTGTTTGTAAAACCAAAAAGAAAAATTTCCTGATTTGTATCATTTCCCCTTTCTGTGTGGGTTACTAATCCAAGCAATCCCTTATGCCTTTAGATGTTATTAGTAGTGTATGTGTGGTAGATGGATTGAAGCTTTTCTGATCATTATTACATAACTTAAAATGATATATATTTAAAATACACATATACAGTAAATATATTGAGCCATGTTAACCTGCCAATGAGATCTGTGAAAAAAAAAAAAAGTAACGACCTCTTTTTTTCTTTCCTCCCTTTTAAATTTCTATCACATTTTTTTTTTTTGTGAAGCGGCTGTAAGTAGCATCAGTGTATTTTTAAACATGTGTAGAGTGGTGGGTTTATTTGTTTTTGTTTTTGTTTTTTACACTTTAACATAGCATGTGGTGTTGAAATGTTACTGTAGCTCGAGTCTATCTTTCACACCAAGGTGTGACGAAATCGTGATTCGTTCCCTCCACCACAACCGAATTATATACGTATCTCCTGTTATTTTGAAACACTGCAGTTTACCATGGGACACTGTATATATTTCTTGCCATAATGGTAAATGACTGATTGATATATTTAAGAATTAATAAATTTGTGATTTCTGCTGACAACGTGCCTTCCCATCATTATTTCTCAGGAAAGGGTGATGGCGTGGTGGGGGGAAGAATGTCCTAGGACAGTGGTTACCAAGATTTTATGTTTTAGCATAATGTGTTTTGAATCCCCAGGGTAATTTAATATACTACTTATATATTCTTTATAATTATTTAAGGCATCATTAAGGAACTTGTAGCAGTTAGTGAATAAGCATATGCCAGGCACTGTGCTAAATGCTAGGGACACAAAGAAAGGCAAAAAACAGTTCCTGGGACCATTATCACAAACCCCAAACGTGCTTTGAAAACCACTAATTGGGAATCAACACACTAGGAGAATTAGATGGCACTTGATTCACCAAGCATTTATTAGGTGCCTACCATTGCTAAGCCCTGGAGATACAAAAGTCCTTGCCCTCAAGAAGCGTACATAGGTGGGGAGGTTGGAATGGTGAAAAAAAGAGTAGGCTAACAACATCTACATAGCTAATTAAATGAAAATATAAACTAAATACAAAGAAATTGGGGCAGGGAAAGAACTAAGAGTGGGCAGGATCAGCCAAGGCCTCATGTAGGAAGTGGAACTTTAACTGAGCCTTGAAAGAATATAACTCAGTTTTCCCTGTGAAGTTGGGGTGGAATAGTTGAATTGCATGTTATTGTTGCAGCTATTAATACATCAGTACTTGGTGTTAATGGAGTGTTAAATGCTGTATGTTCAAGTGGCCCAGTGCCTGCATATACATTAGGCCTGAGGAATTTCCCTCCTAGCAAAAAAAAAGGGGGGAGGCAGTTAAAATTGCTAAACTACAGGAAGCTGTTTCTCTAGGAGGTAAATAGCTAGCATCTGTGAGGTAGCTTTGCTGTAGTCTATAAATAAGGAATAGGGACTGGAATTGTGATTTCATTTGATTAGAGAACTCCTGAGTGAGAAAACTCCATCTACCAATACAGGTCAGCAACTTCTCTGTAATGTATTAGACCAGAGAGTCTTAATCTGGGGTTTGTGAATTTTCAAAATATATTTTGATTACTATTTCAGTATGATTGATTTCTGTAATACCAAGTATTTTTACTTTATGCATTTAAAAACATCATGGAGGGAAGAAAAAAGAGGAAAAAAGGTTACATGATAATTTTATTTGTTTAAAAGGAATAGCAATAGATTTGCAGTTTCATGTGCATCTTTTTTCTATTCAGCTATGTTATGGAAATTTTTAAAAATCTTAAGTCTAAAAATACAATTTAAAATTTTTTATTTAAATAAATATTGAAAATTTAATAAAATTTGAAAACTTAAATTTGCAAATTTAAATAAATTTTCATGTATTTCATTTAAATAAATTTTTTTAAAAAATGAGTATTATCCTGGGTGGAGTGGGGTGGGGGAAGAGCTCCATAGGCTTTACCAGACTGGCAAACGTGTCCACGGCTCTCTGTCTTAGAAAGTTTCACAGGGCACTAACAAGTTAAGTAACTTGCCCAGGATCCCACAATTACTAGGTGTCAGAGGTAAAACCTGAACCCAAGTCTTCTTAGCTCTGAGGCCTGCTCTTTAGCAACATTGCTTCATTGTCTATTTTCTAACTGGAAATTGTTTGTTTTTTTCCCAAAATCATTTCCTTCCTTCTCTTCTTTAAAAGTTCACAGTAGCTATGGTATCGTTTAGCACTTAGCTCAAGTCAGCTATGTAATGACCTCCTAAATTCTGTGTCACGACTCTGATGCCCCAAGCTTCCCTTATTAAAATTGAATGCCAGTTCCAGTTTAATTTGGTCCTTATTTCTTTCAAGTTTGTGTCTAACTCCAAAAAAAACATCTTCTGAAATATATTGCCATGACGAATTATTTCATGACTAGTCCCAAAGCAAAAAGCCAAAAACTCAATTTTGCATCTAATCAGGTTGACAATATCCTCCATAAATTAAAAATTGGTCATCCAACTAGATCAGACTATAGACCACAGTTGAGTTTCATTCAGAGGTTTGAACTTCAGAACACTGGTACTGTATGATGTAGGCACATGCTCTGAGAAATCAGTATTGCAATGGCAACTTTCTCCTGAAATCTAGCTGATCGGTAGAGCTGGTAACCTCTCCTCTAAACCATGCCATTCCAGGGCCTACATGATCCACCTGGCGCCTTGCTCAGACAAAATTGTCTACTCCAAACCTGAATCAGCATAGATTTCCCTCCTGCTAAAACAGAATGCAGGTCTTTCTGTTTCTTTCTTTGGCCACTATGGCCCACCCAGTTGCATTTGTAACTGATTCTCCCCTGTTGTGGGGGCAGCCTTTCTGTTATATTGTAGAGTCATCCCTATTTTATAAGTATCTTTGGAGTCATTTGGTCTCTCTTAAAACTTTTTGCCCTCCTTCCTCTCTGTCCCTTAGCTTTTCTTTTCTCCAGCTTTTTGAAAGAAGACAAAACCAATGCCTGGGCCAGGGTTTGTACTGTCGTCCGTTCCACGTCACAACTTTCCCCATTGTGGTTTTGATATCAGGAGTCAACATAAGAAATTCAATGGGAATTTTTGGGGACTTTTGTAGAAGAGGCAGGCAACATGTGAAAGCCAGTGGACACAGAACATATGACCAAATACTTAACCCAAATTTTATAATAAGGTACTATAAACACCTCATAAGAGGAAAAAAAAAATTCAAACTTTTTCTCTGGTATGAAAGGAGGGCCAAAAAATTTTACATGGATTTTCCAGCTCACAGGGATGGGGAGAGGGTGAGGCATGATGCCTCTAACCCCCAAGATGTGGAAGGGATAATTGTATTAGGCCCCAGCTTGAGCCTCTAGAGGGGCCCAACCACAACCACATGTTATTTGAATTCTGATTCTCTTGGGAGCCACTAACACCCATTATTGCAACACCTGGGTTTTTCATACCCAAACCTCTCAGTATCTTACTGGGGCCACCTGCCTTTGTGAATACACTTCCATAGATTGCAACTTTTCATTCATTGCTGCTGTTAAGTGACTCCTGTGATATGAACTTTTCTTCTCAATGTGGTCATAAACCTCTTCAACCTTAAGCTGGTCATGGTATCATAGATCTAGATCAGGGAGGGATGTATATCATTAGCCATTGGTCCTCAGATGAAGAACATACAGGTTCTCACT